TTCCTCATTTCTTTATACAGAATACTTCAATTTTTCTCTGTGCAAGCACTTCTGATTTTTCAAACCTATCAGTTATCCTATGTTGGAAGACCACTTTCATGAACTGCTTTGTATATCTGAGTGACCCTCTCAAGTGGGGCATAAAAGAACTGCTTTTAACAGTGTTCAAAGATACCCCATAACATATTTTTGCTCATATTCATTGCAGTTTATTATAGTTTATATTGTTATGGATATCAAGATACCTAAATTTCTTATCAGATTCATCAAAGTAAGATCCATTTATAAGTGCCACTCTGTTATTGAGAGTTTAGTGAGGCAGCAAGCAAAAGAGCACTTTATCTAATATTGAGGGAAAAGAACCTGACACATTTTTGCTGCTGTTAAAATGTGGAAATTTGGGATTTCTTTGCTCTCCACTCACCACTAAGAAAATACTCCATATTCTTTTTTGAAAAATTACATGCTGGGGAGATGCATCTCCTCATCTCTATTCCCAAACAACTGGGTAATAACACCATTATTTTCTCTTTCGTCATTTCAGGTAAACAGGGAATGAGGTTGACATTGACTTGTGAGAGAGGAGCGATATATTCGAAATCAGGCATTGGCCACTTGAAATATAATATATACAAGTAATTCAAGTGGTTTTCCTTTCATAAATAGTGATGCCTTACTAGTAGTATAATTAATCGAGTTCATTCATTTGCAGTAACATTTCTGCTCTCTGCAAAACTATTCCCTATTGTTTGTTCTTTTTTACTTACTGTCTCTGCCTAATAAGTTTCAACTTTTTAATTTTGAGCATTGTTCCTGAGTGAAATGATTGAGCTGTAACTCTACAACCATTATTTTAATTGATACTCCTTTAATTGAATCTAATTTCTGGATATTCATAAGGAATTAAACCTAGCAGTGAAACAGAATATGATTTTATATCAGGTGACATACTTTATACAAATCCTTCCTCCCTTTATACCTCCTATTATCATAAGAATTGGTATTCTTTTCCATCTGTGGATCTCTAATTCTTCCCATAATGCATGAACACAACCATATGCAGACTGAAAAATAACTATCCAAAGCTGAAGTGGGAAATAGCAGTGGAAAACTGGAGCATGTGAAATGATCAAGGATATCTCTACTGTCAAGATGAGCATACGTATGGTTTTGCACCAAAGTCATAAGATTGGGGTAGGGATGGAAAGAACATAGTAGTGTATCATTTAGGCTGCTTGTGAAGGATCATCATCCAAGACATCAGGTTCAGATGGAAGAGAAACAATGAAAGCAATGCAAGTGATCAAGTACTTTTAGAATTCATAGGGAGAAGAAGATCCAGACTTTGAAAGTATGCAATTATTCAAATTTCAGACTATTCTTATGTTTTGAGAGATATCATTTTTATGCTGGAGATTTTGTTGTGTGGGGGTTTTTTTCTGTGTGTTTTAATGTAAAGAGCAAAATTTGGAATACGTAAAATTAAATAAGTGGAAAAATGTTCTGATAGTTTAAGATTAGAATAAAATTAAATATTATGAAGACCAGTGTTGGTAAAATTAAGCTCTTCTGCTGTTTCCTCATTTAGAGCTTAAATATTTTCTATTATTATGTAACTCAGCTTCTAATTAATTAACTTAATTAACACTTGAACTAGAGTACAAAATTTTAGATGTATCACATGCTTTGAGATTAATGTTTTAACACATATCACTGAAATTATATAGTCCTTTGATGTTGAAATGGAATTTGTTTTCTTTGAAGAAATAATTCATACTTCTGTTGTTTCCACTTACAAATTTATTTTGTGCCTTTGGTTGCAAAATAAGGTGTGTTTTCAATGTTTGTCTATTACTGAATAAGGCAAAGTTTAAAATACTTAATTTGTATGCAAAGAGCTAACCCAGATTTTTAAAATTCCTTTTTTCATCTGCACCCTGCCTTCCTTGCCAGCCTGTAACACTGCTTCATCAGGCCTGTGTTCCGTTCTAGGCAGATCTAGGGGAAAGCATCTCCTGTAAGGTGTTGCCTTATGGCCGCTGTTCCTACTGGTCTTCCCTCTTAGAAAAGGACATCAGCCCTCCAGTGATAAAACCTAATAAAAGGAGTCTTTCGTTAATAGGAGGGAAAGAGATAAGACACCAAAGGGAACGAAAGTGTCTACCCCGAGACTACAAATGAATGAAAGGAGGATAGAGCCCAAAGCAAAAATGTGAAAGAGGGTATTGAAGTGGGACACTAGTCACTGCTCATTCATCCCTGGAGGCCTCTGAGAACTTGTAGGAACTCGTTGAAGGGCCCAGGGACAGTATGGGCAGTAGAATTGCTGTTGTGCCCACCAGCATTATAATCCCACCTCAGGGGTGGAACTCCTGGAGCCGTGACTAACAAGCTTGAAGGACTGTGACTAAAACACTAGGGAAGATTCTGGAGGATCCCATCTCCATGTGTACTTCTCTGCCAGAGAAAGGGCATAAATCTGAACAGCCAGTCATCATGTCCATGTCCATTACTCCATGGAGGTTTTCCCAATTTATGCTGCTAGGGAGCGGCAGAATTAGCTCAGGAAACAAGCTGTCTCCCAGGAGACAGTCTGCAACAGTACCTTGGCTTGATAGGCAGACTTGTAATTAACTTAAACTCATCAGGCTCTAATTTGATTAGCCAGCTTGACAGTTTGATGCCAGAGTTTAAAAAAAGCCCAAACAAACCACAACAAGCTAGCAAATGAAATCCCTGATAACTGGAATCTAAGACTCTGATTCCCACACAATAGTATGTGACACATTACCTGGATCTTACAAGGTATTGCCTTGTTAAATGTTTATCTGTAGCCCTAACCTGAGTTTGAGGAAAGTTCTTTCTTCATTTACTGTTGTTCTTTTTGTCTCTGTGGTAAAATTAGATGAAGTTAAATTTCTGTATGTAATGAAACACTTCATATGGACATAGATTTCTTCATTTTAATATAGTAAAAATATTTTAATCCTGTATTTGTGCTATAATTTTAGAGCAGGAGACAACATGTAAGAAGAGGCTACATTTACTTAAATCTCAATTTATCTCTCATTATGCATGGGATAAATAAATGTTCTGAAAAGAGTAGGTTGAAGTGCAGTTGCCAAAACCTAATTGTTCATCTTCTGCTGTTCTAGATCGAATATACCTTAGTATCTAATTGGTTACCTCTCTCTCATCCCCCCACTCCCCAAAACCTCTACGAATTTTTCTTCCTCTGTCCTATGATAGACCCAAAATGCTTGATTAATGTTGATTAGAAGTAGATTAATTTAAATTTCAGATTTCATTTCAGATCTTCAGAAGTCAGTTTGGGTTTTTATCTGCCTATGACTACTTATCTGCTTTCAGTTGTGTTTCTGTGGAAATTATTTACATTAATATTAAAGCTAGTAAACATTGGCAATTAACATTCAGAAGTTGTAAGAAAGATGAAACTAATCTTGTATGAAATTAGGCCAAGGTCTGCATAAATATTGGTTACTACATAAGGGAAATGAATGCATTTTTAATTTTTTTCTTTCGTTTCTTGGGTCATTCTGGAAAAGCAGAGTTTTTATTACATTTAAAAGATTAGGAAGATAGAAAAAGAAATTTTACGCAGGGTCAATTTTTATTAAATAGGATATTATGGGGTAGCTATAGTGAATAATGGAGATAATGTAATATATGGCAAATTGACTTCTTTAATTACAAATATCACTTAAGTACAGTCTAATAAATCACATGCAGAGTATATTTAGAGGAGTTATTTTGGTACCGACAAATCAATATTATCAAAGCAAATTTTTAAAGAAATGTACATGTCACAATACAGTTGTGTTCTTTCCATTCTCTCAGATGGTGGTTGTTTGGTTTTAGTAACATTCATTGCTTTCATGACTCTGAGTTAAGATTTATTGTCCTCTGAAAAATTTTGTCATTAGGAATTAGAGGTTAGTACAGAGCACTAATACGTTTGTTGCTGGGCAATATGATGGCAATGCTTCCATTAATGCTGCTTAACTTTAGAGGGAATTTGTATTTTTTCACGTGTGTCAGAAACCTCATGTTTTGCTACTTTAAAGAGGGTCACTTTGGTTAAAAATGTGCTTAAAAACGTTTCCATTGATATGGAAAACTAGCCATATTTCTTGGCTGATTTTGCTAATGAACTGCCATTGTTTTGTATCTCTGCCCAGTCCCTATATTTGCTGTTGTGATATTTTTTGTTTTTAAAGTACAGATGGTTTCTCCCCTAGTATATCTTTGCAACATTTCCCATTGTGTAGTGTTGTGACACCTCACCTCTCTAGCTATAGAAAACAATCTGGGAAGGACAGCATGGAGCTTTGTCTTGGCTTATTTATTTTCAACCTGTTCCTACATTTACTCCAAGTGCTGTTGGATTTGAACTATGCTATTCACTGATTCTTAATTTTTAATATTGTTGGCACAGAAGAATGTGCTTAGTTAATTCAAATCTCACTGCTTTGAATGCAAATCAGAGAACCAAGTGGCCTGATCAGAATTGACGATACATTTCTTCATTATTTTTCTTCATTTTATGCATCTACTTATGCATATTTGGACCAGACTGGCAACTCTAAACATCTTATAAGAAAATATATGCTTATAAGTATTTACATTCAAAAGAGGAGGAAAGGTTAGATATCATTCAAATGATCAATTTCGTATTTTCACTTTGTTTTTCCTAAATAAAAATTGACCTTTAAAACGGTTTAGGATACCAAGATAACAATTTTTTCACCAAAAAAATGAATAAATCTGATACTAAAATGTGATTAAAAAAAATCTCTTTTGAGTTTGTTTTTTTTCTTGAGTGGATCTGCTTTTTCTTTCTGTTCTTTCTATCAGTATATAAAACTTGTATTTTAACATTTTATATGAGTATATATGTGTGTAGTGTTAAATTGTTTTGTACTTTGTTTGTTGTTGGCAGTTTTTTGCCACCTAAACAATGGCTTCTGGTATTTTTTCAGGTGTCCAAAGATCTTCCAGAGAAACAAAAAGAAATAGAGATTCTGCTAAAGGATTTTGTTGAACTTGATAAACAACTGAATCAGGTGATATTGTGGGTCACGCCTGTCAAGAACCAGCTGGAGCTTTATAACAGAGAGGGTCAGCCAGGAGCCTTTGATATTAAGGTAAATTTTCTTCCATTTTATAAAAGCATTGGAATCTCAAGTGGTCAAAAATTCAGTTGCAGCATCAACTGTTTAGCTTTTATTGACAATGTAACTTTGAGACAGAAGTCAGCAATGGTCCCCAGAAGTTCAAAGCTTTATGAATTAAGGAAAGCTTAAATTTTTTTTCATTAAATGGTTTCTAGTGAGAGGGCAGATTAGAACCAGTGGTTCCTAGATATAATTTATTATTTTTCCCATATTATACATGAAACAATAGACCCAAAAGTTGATGCATCAAATCATAATACAAGGTAAACTCAAATTCAGAATATCAATTGGACCATTTAAGCTATTTCATTAAAGCTAATATGACTACATGAAAATCAGAATATTTAGGACCATATCATGGTTCTCATAGTGCAAGAAAGGATATTTAACTGCACAGGTAATGCTCCAGGAATCAATAAAGCTGATTGTCTAGTAATTGTGGGAAAAATATTTGTAATCTGATCCTTGATATGTATTTAAGTATAAAAAAGATGCCTGTATATGAATTGAGTGAGGCCAAAGAAATTAAAGATGAAAAATGCTGGTTAGAATCAATTGGCCTGCTGGATATATACTTACACATTTTGGCCTTGCATTTTGTCTATAAGTGTATGATCTTATCTTCACATAAACTGGGAAAATATTTAATGTACAATAGATAATTGAAATCTATGAAGTTAAAGTTTATAGTAGCTCAGCATCTTGTTCACCTAGATAAAGATTTAACAGGAAACACTGAGTTTTGTATGAGTTTTGTTTTTGATACTGCAGTTTTCAGTGAAAAGTGAAAAAATGTAAATATTCAGAACTTGTATTTTCTTGCATGAATTGAATAATACCTTCTCCTTAAGATGTGTGGTTTTGCTGAGTATGTTGATTAAATTCACTTTAACTTATTTTCTATTAAGGAACAGTTTTAATGCTCAAACACTTCTTAGTCATACAATCACATTATATAAAATAGTGAATCTCAAGTCCTGTTGTAGTCCTATTGACAGAATGAGTTCAGCAATTACATTAATTCTCTTTCTAAAAGATAAAATTAGTATAGCTCTTTGCAAATGGCTGCATATGTATTGAATGACTGATGGAATTTTGTATATTGTATATTCTTATCTTCTGTATTTTAACAAAAAATTTTAGATTATTCATCCATTTTTTTATTCTGTTTCCTTTATTTCTAGAATGATTCCACATTCAAAGTTTATATAAAATTTAAAGCAGGGATAAATTTCTACAAGTTATAACAGTATTACTTTTCATATTGCTTATGAAATATTTTGCTTGTCTCTTTCAGTCCTGTAATCATATAAAGCATGTTAGCTTCTTATTTACATGTTATCCATCTTTATTGCTTTTAAAAGATATAGACTTCTTTAAAATGTTGTTGAATGATGGTTTACCCAGAATGTAGTTTTTTTTCAAGGAGAGAATCTGTTACATTAAACACTCTTTATTAATTATCTCTGAAGGCAAATTACATTCTTATAACCTTCTTCAGGTTAAGAATAAGCAGACTAAGACCATTAATAATAACAAAACACATTAAAAATTAGTAGATATAATTCAGGAAAGCAGCCTAGTCTTGACAACGTTCAGTTTTACACTCAAATTCAAACACGTGTTTCAGACCCATGCTAACATTCTGCCCTACATTGAGTCAAGCCTCTGCATACACATCCTCTTGAATTATTGTTGAAATGATTATGTTTGTGTCTTCTTAAGTTACCATCCTGTATGGCTAATGTGCACCTTTAAAAAAGTAAGGATGTGCATCCTACCTATGGAAGGGATGTTTTTAACAAATCTCTGGTGTTCCCAAATACTGTATAAATATTCAGCATTTATTCTACAACAATTTTAATTCCTTCACCAATATCCAGAGAACACTGAAGTATCTGCTATAGGATTTCATAACTCTTTTTCTCAGAAACAAGAATGATTCCGATGAGCACCTAGTGGAATGAAAAGCATTTTATTAATCTTCTTAGAAAAGAGACTGGATAAGAAATTTTACAAAGAATCTTTTTGAGTATTCTAAAAACCTGGAACGTATGAAGAAGAGGTTTAAAACTGACAATCAAACTTGTAAATATAGCACTCGAGTGAAAAAGACCAAGTTCATATAAGTCCTCAGACTATTTTAGTTATAGGATTTTACATGATGGTTTACAAATTTTAATTTTAATTTCATTTAAGACACTGTCTTTTGTGAAATTTCTGTCAATGTTCTTCATACTCTTACTGAGCCTGCAAGGTAATGTTCTTCAGCTTCCTCCTCAACCATTAAGTCGTCTCCTGTCTCTTTTGTTTTCAAAGTTATTTTTTGGGGAAAAGAGTTCCAAAACTAACATGAGTAGCAAGGATTTGGAGTAAATAAATATAAAGTATTGTAAGGATATTAATTTCTAAAATTCACAAAATATTGATTGTTAAAAATTTTCTGACCTCAGAAGCAGGTGAATATAAATGACGAGAAAAACGTGGGGTTGGATAGGTAGAAGAGAAAGACGATGGAAATATGTCTTTGTTTTAAACAGATACCCAGAGTGTCTTTAGCTACTTAGCAATATTATATTAAAGTAATATACCTGTTTAAAGCAAGTTCCTTGCCTTTTCTTACCTTTAGGAAATTCCAATTACAAAAATGTGTTGTAGCTGAAATTAAACTAAAGTGCATCTAAAATATCAATTAGATATTCTGACAGAATTTTCCAAAATACAGTGATTTATTTCTCTGAAAACCATAGCAACTTTTGCTTCTGGCATTCAGCTATAATCTGATAACTATCATTGCAGTTTCCTCCATAAATCAAGGGGTATAATAAATGCAGGTCCTTATCAGATAATCTGATTTAAACTTTTAAATAATATTGATCTCTATAATATTTGCATAGTAAGTATATAGAGGAGACTATTTGTGAATTTCACATGCATAATTCACACTAACTTTCAGTTTCTGTGAATTAATACTAATTTAAAAGCTCGTACTTTTTTCCCACCTCTGCAAAAATCAGCTATTAAGAATAGATGAGAAGTACCTTAAATTTACTTAGCAAAAAATTTAAATAATTAAATCACCAGCAGCACTAACCTTTAATGGTGGCACAGAAGTTATTCTGTGAGAGTCACAAAGGTGCAACCAAAGGCAATATTGTTAGATATTGTTACAGACAACTTCACAAAAAGTAAGACGTTTAAGACTCAATACATGATTGGGCTTGGTGACAGGTAGAGCAATTAAAAACCCTCCTATGGATCTTAAAACTATGTCTCAATTTTAAAAGTGTTCAGGACCATTGTTAGGCCTAGAGGTCAGCTGGTGCAGCACAGTTTGCATCCTTTCAGAAACAGTCTTAACCCTCAGAAGAAGACAGTTGCATCCAAAGTGCCTGTTGCAGCCTCTGTGGTTGATGCCAATCCCTGTCCATGCCTGGTCACTGCCTCAGACTGTGCAGTTTGTCCCATGATGGAAGCAATGCTCCCAATTTAATGGTGTGGGCAGTCATGCTGAAGAATTTTACTTGTATGTCCTCTCCCTTTTTAGTTCATTACTCTTGGCACCACATAAAAATTCAGGGAAGGATGCAAACAAGTTATATGAAAATGAGAGGTTCAGTGTCACTAGCATACTTCATTTTCTGTGTCATTTGACTTAGTCATGCTTTCAGATCAGAGAGGTCTCTGGATCTGTATGAGCTCAACCCAGGGTGCTGACTGTGACCTTCCATGTAGCATGAGGTTATGAACATGATAGCACTTGCTTTTGGGGTAACAAGACCACTAATAATGTTAAATTCTTTAATCTAGCAGTTTTTCAGTTCCTGAGAAATGGTCTCTTATGCCTCTGCCCTCGTACATATCCTTGCAATGCTGAATCCAGATTGGAGCAACCAAGGACTGTGATTGTGTCCCACCAAAGCTCTGCAGCCTACCTACATCCTGGATTTCAAAATCCCATTAGCACAGGATGCCATAATGCATGTTCTTGCCCAGTATCATGCGCTCTTTCTGTTCTCTCTCATTTATTAACCATTCATTATAGAGGTATTTGCAAGTGAGTAATTACATAGCATTATATCAACCTCCTCCAGTCCTACAGAATGGTTCCAGATGCTTAATATCAGTTGTTTCCTAGACTTGTGCCTTAAGTTTAGTAAAAAAGTACATAATAGGAGAGGCTATTTTCTAATTCAGTGTAATGCAATTAGGAAACAGAAGAAGATGCAGACATAAAGAGATTAGACAAGTCCAGCATGTTCCTTGGTCCCCCTTTTGGAGAAAGACCGTGTGGTGACCAAGGAACATACTGGGCCGCTTCATAGTCCTACAATCCCTGGAACATTTTGTGTCATTTGAGGCTTTGGGCAGCATCTTAACTTCTAAAGTATGTACATACATCAGTTTAAAAAGCAGCAAAAATGTTAAGAAACATATGAACACTATGAAATTGTTGAAACAAACTTTTTTAAATTATTCAGTCCTAAAAAAGCATATTGTAGTTTGCAACAGCATTTATTATAAAATACTCTCCCTTCTGAACGAAAATTTTTGTTTTCTTTAAGTTCATTCTGCTATCGTAACTCTATGCCTACTTCAAATAATTACAGTATGGCTCAGGAAACCCTAACATACTTTTTGCCAATATGATTTGTCTTCATAATTTTCTTGACTGTAATGTAGAGTCTGCAGTGGCACAATTAGAACCCGGACCTTCAGTTAAGCATGATAATTTTTACCAGTGGTATCAAAAATCACACTGGGGCCATAATAACTAATTTCTCAATAAGGGTGGACAAAGGATTCTTCATTCTCAGGATTTAGAAAGCATCTGTACCAGTATTTGTTTCACTTGTGATATTATTCCTAATTACAGTTCTCTTCTATAAACAAAGAATTTTTAAAAAGTTAAGGAAACTATCAAAATAAATCTACATTGAAATGCAGATTTGCAATCTAAAAAATTAAAA